TGCCAGGTGGAAGACCTGTGTTTGATGCTGCTCTCTAAGGCATAAAGCTATTCAAGCTAATTGAAATTCAGACAATGGAGGGAGATAAATAAAGCAAAACTAGGCCCAGGAGAGAAGCTTCTGGTCCTAGGCAACTGAACTAATCTGTTCCTTGACGAAGTCTGAGAGAAGGATGCTATCCAGAAAAGTTCTGCTACAGCACGATGATGATGCAGAAGAAAGCTAGGTCAAGTATGCTAGTGGTAAACAAACACAGTGAGACATTTCGGAAGATTTCCTGGAAGAGCTGGAAGAAGAGCTGTCTTCTGCCATACTGCCAATAGGTGTTTGCTGCAGATACCCTGTTGTGACAAAAGGGACAGCAAGACTCTTAAAGCTATATGGTAGGGACTGCAGGAAGGCACAGGAGAGTTCTTCACAGTTATCAGGCTTGAGTGCTGCCCTGAAAACTGGACTCTACACCTTCCTCTGCCCCAGAATTTTCTTGTGATTCTAGTCAAGTTGTCTAAACACAGCTCCTCATGATAGTTACTGACAAGGTGTTTCTCATTCTATGGTTGCTCAGCCTGAAGACTGCACTCAGAGCTGCAACTGAAAGTACGGAGAGATTACTAAGTATGCTGCAATCTCAGATCCTAAATTAGCACTCTTTAGCTAAATCTCTTGTTCCTTCTTTACAATGGGAAAAATTGTTACTATCTCACTACCTAAGACAGTTCTGAAGACACTCTCATCACTGAATGAGTTACTGAGAAAAGTCTGAGGAACAGAAGGATTCTGCCTTTAGAACAGAATTATGTGCAAGACATATGACATATAACACTGAGCAATTAGGAGAAAACACAGATGACTGCCCAAGTAAATATTAGCATGTGTCTCAATCTGACGGGACTCTTGGGATGGTGGAAAAGGAGAGTAAGTATATGATTCGGTAACCAAGGACTTAGTGCATACAAAAAGGTGGAATTAACCCTACTTAGGCACATTTCATTCTGTCATTTGCAGATGTTCTGAATATTCAGTTTTGCAGTTATAATGTATTTTCAACACTGGAGTTTTGTGGTGTATGTATCTTAGAAATAAATTTATTAGAGAGCACTTAGTTTACTCACTGCATAGCTCAGCTGGAAATATTTATGGCTGTTGGCCCCACTGTGGCTGTTACAGCTCACACAAATAATGGACTGTCTTACTTTTGTAACAGAGGCTATATGACAGGAGTAAGTTAATCTGAAGTACTGTAAATATGCAAGAAATTGCTGTACAAGAAGCTTGAGATATTATATAGTATATGTAGGAATATTTGTTCAGTAGCACAGTAAGATAAGGGGAGCTCAGAAGATCAGTGCTGAGAAAGACAGTGAAAGTACCAGAGCTCAGCCCTTCAAATAGTACTGTGGTGTTTCATAAAACAGCATCTGTTTCCCAGTGGGGAGTGTTGGCTGAGTTCCTCTTGGGAAAAGAGCATCAGCATCAGCTCACTGCGTTAGATTTATCAGTTCTGCAGTTTGTTTGATAATGTCTGGTCAAGATACCAGAACCCACATTATTATTTATTAGCTGCATGTTGGTGAGAACAGCCTGCATGTTACTCTACACGAATCTCTGCTGGCTCCAAAATAGAACACACACCTTGCTGAAGCCTCAAGAGAGATTTAAAAAGCCCAGCAAACTACTTATCCAACAGGTAAGAGGGCTGGAAAATGGAAAATATTATATCCAGATGGAAAATATTACCTTCAAAAATGAGCTACAAGATACAGACAGAAATCACATGTAGGGAATAACAATAGACATACGCATTTATAAATTTAGCAAAGTTAATACATATTGGAAATGTTCACAATTTCAAAAGGGTAGTACTATTTGTTGACAAGGAAAATGAATTGAATGTTTGTTTTAATATCACTCAGATGCTGGTGGAAAACTAAAAAAGCTATATACTAGCAACAGCACAATATATTTCAGAACAGTCAAATTACTGGCTCTTTCATTCCTACAGATAAATTTATGCACTTGTGCCTACACTGCAGTACTTTTCTCCTTAAGTAAAGAATTTCAAGAAAAATACAGCTTCATTCTGCTCCTTGGAAAACAGTCTGTTCTGGCAGATACAGAATCACAGAAAACATTAGTTTGGAAGAGGTCTTGGGAAGTCATCTGGTTTAACCCTCCACTGAAAGCAGGGCCAACTTAGATCCAGTTGCCTGTGACCTCGTCCATTTGAGCTGTGAATGTCTCCAAGGATGGAGATTTCACAGCCTCTTGGGTGCCTGTTCTGATGTTTGGCTACCTTCACTGCTAAAAAATTCTTAATATCTAATTGGCATTTCTCTTGTTGCATGATCCCTTTATAGTGCCTCAAGGCATTGTAAATGCCCAAATATTTAATATATAAGCACAACATTTTATTGGCTAAGTTCCAAAATTCAGTTTATTCAAGTCTCTGTGATTATAGAATTTTTGTCTATTATGAACTTTTCTCAAAGAATGTCAGTTGGATGAAACTTGGAGCCAAGTTACTGTGGTTATCTCTGCATGGACACAGGAAAAAAATTACTCCATTTAGCCATGGCACAAGACTATGCTCAGATTGGGAACCACTGTACATCAAAAGTACTACAAGATAGGAACTAAGCTGGTCTACATTGTAATGCTGTAGCTCATCTTATCTAACTTTAGTCGTCTACTACTTAGAAGTTTAGCTTAAGTTAATCAGGTAGATTCCATTCACAGGCAAATGAAGCACATTGTATCCACAGGCACATCTCTGCGTTACTCAGGCCACCTCAGACTACTCTCTCTCTCTCTGTGCAATTACACAAGGTGCTGTGACAAATATTGCCAGTGCTAGGAAATATAGTATAATCTGTCTTAAAAAGAAAAAAAACCTATTGTTTTGTCATTACAAAACAAGGCCTTTTCTTGTCTTTACCTAGTGTATTCTGCTGAGATCTTACCTGGGCAAAGAGTAGTTACAACAGGCACAAATATGGTCCCAATCAAAGATGTGTGACATCACTGAGTAATGAGGTTACTGAGTAATCTGCTCAGTAAATGGCTTGCATTTCTACATTTTCCTTTTAGTAGACAGCTAATCAAACATGAAGTTATTAGAGGTGCATTTTCACTGAAAGAAAGACATCTCCTTTGTATAAATACACTTTGTGGGATATATTTCACTGCTGAATCTGGTATCTAGTTTTGTAAAGGTGGACAGCTTCCTAACCATAAGGTGCTCTTAATATGTATTCATCTTTTACTATAAACAATTGTTGCTGTTGTTGGATAAATAACATGGACAGTAAGGGATAAGTTCAGTACTAAACCCCTGCCATTTTGCTCAACCAAACACACGCCTTCAGATATCTTATCCAACAAATTCCTCAGCATGGGCATCATGCTTAAAGTAATCCTTTTCTGTTGACTTAGCTGTTTCTTTCCTAGATGGAAAAGTTTCATACCAATACAGTTATCAGTGTGATCAGAATTGCTCTGCTTAGTTTAAAGAACTCTTGAACTTGTACAAATTTCTCCTTTTGTTCATCAACAGCCAACCAATCAAAAAAGCAAAACAAACATACAGTGTGTGAAGGACAGTTGAGAATCAGGATTTCTCTACAGATCTCTGGTAGATTCAGCCTGGAAGGCATGTAGTTAAAGCAGCTAAAACACTGAGATCCCAGTGCTGGAAACAGAGCCCCAGAGTTGCCTCTATCAGAGATCACTTTACACAATTCTTAGGAAGCCCATCTGGGAAATGACACTTGACAGTCCTCCAAAATATTTGTGAGTTTTTGCTGAGTAATATGAAAAGTAACATAAACTTCATTACTCCTCTGTCATCCATGTGTTCTCACACTTTCTTTGTCAGAGTAGGAGGTGAATGCGATGTCTCTAATACAGGTCTGTCCTTACTCTGAGACTTTGGAGAATTTTTACTGCTCCTGAAGTTGTGTAATGCAGATGGCAAGTGCAGCAATTTGATTACAGAGTCCCTAAAAAGTTTCATTCAGTACATGCAAGTGATTTATGGAGGTATAGAATTTGCTCCATTAGAGAGAGAAAATAAAATTCATTTGTCTGGTGCAACCAATAAGCTTTAACTGTGTACACTCTTGGACCTGCCAACCCTTCATTCTACTTATAAGGCACAGAGGCAGCAGTATTCTTAAAGGGCTGTTACAAAATGTTTCACATGGGGATAGTTAGTAGCAGTTCTCCAACTTAACTCTTAGGAAGAAATTTTTTTCTGTGGTAAATTCAAAATAACAGAACAAAAGAGCCTCTTAGGCAGGAAACAAAAAAGATATAAAACTTCAGTTTGAGTAATAGTTATTTAACAATGACATAACAAACAAGAGAGGGACTTTTAAAGGGATTTTAAGTTGTTAGGCAGCCTTTGTTACAGGTCAAGCTCCTTGCTGCCTTCTAGTTTAAATATTGTCCTGCAGACATCCTCCTACTACTGAGCATGACTGGAATTACAGTCTGGCTAGAAAGATTATCCTGTGAAGAAAAACATGGACACAGGGCATCCTGACAACAGCTTCTATAAACTTCGTATAACACAGTAAACACGTTATTGTTGAAACCTGAACTGAAACAAAACATTGCTATATGCGTGAACTGGAATTTTTCAGAACCTTCCATTTTGCAGTAGTTATTCTAATAAAAGGACTAAGATAGGTTGCTCACTGGAATCTGAGTAATGACAACCTTCGGTTTGGGACCACTTTTTTTTTTTTTTTTGGTTAATTTCAGACTTCTGAACTACACAAGTACATTAGTGATACATGCCTGATACGACACATTTATGCAGGAATGATGATATTGCAATAGAAATTAAGCTTTTTTCAGAAGCTTTTTCAGAAGCTGAAAAGCTTCTACAGTTGTGTAGGTGATTTTACAGTTTAGTGCTGTGTATTTAATGAATATGCAAGCAGACACAAAAAAACTTTTGTTTAAATCAGCATCTGTATATTTGTGTAATTCAATACCTTTCCGATGAAACTGAAGGGATCCTAGCAGACATATGGACTTAAGCATTTCTGTTGTGTACATTTCTAAGCAACACTGCAACTGGATGTATAATCTACAGATTTCAGGATGAATTTCACCATCTTCTGGGCTGCAGTAAAAAAGAGAAAATTTAATTAGGAATGGGACCAGAAGGACCTGAGGGTCATCAAATCCAGTTCCCCACTGTTGCAAACAACCACGTTATAATAACTTCATAAGCTATTAAGCTATGCATATATGATAAACAAGTTGTTTCTACCAAACTGGATCTAAAAATAAAACCTTAGCTCTACAAGAACTCAAAACAGCTAAACTTGGGCTCTTTGGTAATACTCTATGGTAAGATTTTTGTAAGATTTATTTTCTCCCTTGCATATCTTTAGAAACGGAGTAAATTAATGACCTGAAAAATCTGAGCTTTCTTGTCCTCTTTACCAGCTTTGGAGAAGTATTTTCTGGTAGACTGAAGAATTCTTGTGCCATCCAGTTTCAACTACTCTTGGTCCTGGTGCAGCTGTGCGAGAAGATTGCAGGGCCCCTTCTACTGTCCCTGTTCAGGCTAGAAATGCTGGATGAGGCATCATCAACCCCAGCTTGCTGACACTTTAATAAGAAACAAGGCAGTTGAGTCATTTAGTTTTGCAGTTTCTGCCTGAATTTCTTTTTTCCCCCTGTGTTTAAAATGCTGGTCATGTGATTAGCTAATACTGCACTATGAGGAGAATGGGGGGATTACAGAGTTTTTCCAGAGAAGTTATCTTTCAGGAGTGTCTCAGGAATAACACCTTTTAAAACAAAAATTGAAATCAAGAATAATCTTAGATCAATTAATTGCACAGAACACTAGAATAAATCATTTATCCAGATTTCAGGATCCAACTGCTCTCATGCCTGGCTGCAAAACTGGTCAATGTCTCCCTTTCCTAGGCTCAGAATGGCGTGCGGACATAAATATATTATTTTATAAACGTAACTGTTTCCTCAAGTGCTCAAAGAGGAGATTTACCCAGCCATATCTGAAAAGCAGGTTTTCAATCCCCTTTCCAAAGGTACTTTCAGTAGGGCAGTAAGTGGTAAGGTTAAAGAGTTAGGATTTCACCCACTTTGTATTCAGACATTCTTGCTATTGGCTTGCTACACAGTGATGTTAAATGATAAGACAACCCCCAAAATTGGATTTCATAACAAATAGAAACTTCTGCTTTACTAAATAAACTGAACCTAACGGCATTTCTAAATACTACCAATATGAAACTAAAAAATTTTCTCAGCAAGTTTTCAGATTTCTAGCATATGAATAATATAAATAAAGCTTTCACAGTAAAAAGATTGCTAGCATTCTTTGTAGGGATTGTGTTTCCTGTGGTTAAACTGACACTTCTAAAGACCCTCTTGTATAGGAAATAAAATCAGACTTGTGGATTTTCTCAAGGGAATCAAAGCAACTTACTTACCTGATAAATTATTTGTAGCAACACTAAACTGGGCTGCTCATATGCTCAAATAATTTCTTAATACCAATCTAGGCCACAGACTTTTGAGACCTACAGCAGACAGTGTTTATTTAAACCAGATTCTGTCTGACACCAGGGTGAGGGGTCATTAGTCATACTCAGTCAAACCCTACGTCCAATGAAAATGCTAAGTCTGGCTCTTTTGTCATGAACAAAACTGAAAAAGTCTATTTTAAGAAAAATCCTACCAGTTTGTGCTGATACAATTTTACCGAAATTCAGTTCAAACAAATAAACACTGCATACTAAAAGCTGCTAGTTCTTGTATTTGAGATTCACTATTATTTCGAACAAAGTGGAGACCGTACATTGCCTAGAAAGCACATATGCTTCTGCCACTGATTTCAGTGACACCAGGGAAGATTAAGCCCAGCCATACTCTGGGAATGTGAAACTAGACAAGGCCAGAAGAAGATAGGCCCTGGTTTATTTCTGTGCATGTGGCTCAGTGGGCAGGAGAAGGGAGCAGTCTGAAAGGAATGTTTGATGCAAGGACTTGCCATAATTTGCCCCCAATGAGGGAGAAACTGTGTGTTTTTTCCAAGGCCCTCAAGGGTTTCTATCCTTCCAAGTGACAGCAGAAATCAAACAGGACCATGAAGGGTTCACAGAATTGGCCAGAACCTTCCTAAAGGGAAAGAACAACCTTAGCACTTCCACAGCACATCAAGGAAGACTACTGGTGTTTCTACAGGCCAATGAAAACTGTAGAACTGTAGGAACTGCAAGAACCACAGTAGTGGTAAATTGTGCAATCAATCATAAATGCTAAAAACAAGCTTGCAGACAAAAAAGAAAAAGAAAGTGAAGGCTGGGCAGGAGTGGGGACTAGAAGGAAATCATGCTGGACTTAGTAAGAAGGGACAAAGGGAGATAGGTCCCACCTGCCAATCCATTATAAAGTAGAACTCATCAAAAAGGCAGAAAATAACTGGAATCCAAATTGCCTTTACTGTGGTCTGTGTTACTTCAGAACCAATACCATACCCATGATAATAAACTTGTCAATTGTAGGAGCTTTATTTCCTTTGACTAGACCAGCAATGAGTGTATTTCTTTTAAGCCACACCTACTTTTCTACTTTTAACATCACGTCTGCCTTTATTCAGAAATCATGCCATACACAATATGTTATTTCATCCATCTTAGCACTAATACAGTGTAAAGCTGTGATGGCAGAACAGAAAAGAGGTTTTATGCCTGATATCTTAAAGACGTCTTTTCAGATGCTCGTTATAACTTTTCTTCCTATTCCCAATGATTCCACCTCCAAAAACATTTGATTGCCTTAAGTCCCTGCATATTTTTCCTGAAAAATTAGCTACCTGAGAGAAGTTTGCTTATTCAGAGTCAATTCCTTCTCTGCATATGGAAACATGCATTTGCTGGATATGAATCCTTGTTCAAATCTCATATTATTTTCAAAAGTTATCAACATAAATGTTTTCAGTGACTGCACTAGCAGTAGTAAAATAGAATAACGAATGCTAGTTAGGGCTGAAAATTATGCTTAGAAGAAGACACACAGCAATACAGCAACACATACAAAAATGACTGTGGGATAAACTAAATTTGAATTTTTAAAAAACATACCTAACTGAAGAATCCTCAGACACTTGGAAGTTCTACTACGTATGTTACAATATTTTATAATACTTTTTATCTTGATTTGTTCCATAGTATCTAGTAACAGTTTGGCAAGAGTTAGACCTTAACATTCTCTGCAATTAGATGTTCGCTGCTTCTTTCATTTTAAAGCAATCTATACATTATATGAATTGCAGCTGTTAGATCTGTGATCACTTAGGTGATTAGAAATGGACTGCTCTCTGCATAAGCAATAACCATAAATTCAGCAGCATTTTTTTTTAAATTTGCAGATGGCAAGAAAGGTTTTTAATGTAATGCCATCGGTATTAACCAAAGAAGATAAAATAAATATAGCCCTGATTTAAATTTAATTTGCTTTAGTATAAATCAGGAACAGCTCTCCAGAAGTAGACTGGTATTTCCTAAATAATACCAGCATATTCAAGCCCAACATCTACTCCTTCATTTTGCATATACCACTCCTAATGATTTCAAACTTTCCTGTAAATGCCTGCTACAAAACTGGATAAATCTCAAGAGCAGAATAGGATTCTGGTAAATTTGTTGCAAGAGGCAGTCTCACGAGTAAATGTAACCTTACAGAGTCCATCTAGCCAAATAGATTACAAACAAATAACTGGCCCAATACAGCAAAAACGCAGCACATCACATTTCCTTACTCTGCAGTAGTATTTTAAATTTCTGAGCTGTGGGTCTGAGATACTTGTTTTCATTTCTCTGATAACTACATTTAAGACTCAGGCAATACATATTTAGATAATACATGACCTCCTGAGGTCTTTTGCTATCGTGATTTGTCCTACCTTTTAGCTTACAGAGGAGATTTCTTAACCCCCTAGCGTCGTCAGTAGTCTTCCAGGTAGCTTGAACAGTATTCCCCAGTTCAGCACAATGGAATTACTTCAGTAAGTGCGGGTATAGCTTTTTTCATCATCTGAGTCTCTTACTGTTGCAGCTCTTGTTTCCTCCTGAGCACACATGCAGTAATTAATTTCCTTTAAGCTATCCCTACCAATAAAAGGATTACAACAAGATTTAGGAATGTAGAGGTCTCCCTTACTTGCCATATTTATCACCCAGCTCCAAAATTTAGTTCTTCAAAATCACTGTTCATCTAATACCTAAATCCTTCAGCCTCCCAATATGCACTCAAGCATATTCAGTTTCTGCTCATAAAGTTTCCAGGATGCCTAAAATTTATTTCTGAGCAGGACTTTCTCTATCCTGAAGATGAGCAGTTAGATGCCTTGTAATGGATAAACAAGACATTTGCCTATTTCACTTGCAGGGCGTTACCCCCTAAATGTTCCTGGTGCAGAGTGGAACCTGCACTAAAGAGAGTCTCCACAGATTGCAGCAATGGCCTTTTCCTGCTCAGTTGCTCAGTCATCTGCTCTTCTGCTCAGATGAGAGCACTTTCTGATAGAGAGAGAGAGAGATACTGATCTACTCTGCTCTCTTATCCCAGGAAAGCTGAATCTACCTCTTTCTTCTTAAGGGTATGATTCTTAAACCATAAGGATATCACTAACCGGAGTACTGAAATTTACACTGTGAAAAGATAATTTCCTTATAGCAGATTTAGATAAAACTGGATTATTTTTGTCCTATTTTTCTCTACGTTGTTTCAAACGTTATAAATCCTTATTTTTTTAAGGAGTCATGGTTGTTAAGGAACTTTACTTAAAATATTCAATGTATTTCTTACTTTTTTTCTAGCTGTCATAGCAAAAAGATTGAGGGTCTGCACACAGGGGTAAGAAAACAGTATGTATCTCATACAGCTATTTCATTTCCGAGAAGCAAAAATAGTGAAAGCCTTTCTTTAAAACTATTGTGGGCAAAACAATCTTGACTCAGGGAATTTCACTTAATTTATTGTCAATCAACATAAACTTTTAATTTGAGTATTCAGTATTTCAGTATCGAGAAGCAAGACAAACAATTAAACAAACACTTAAGGAAACACTTGTCCTCCCTCTTC